ATACCGAGCGTACTAAGGCATCAGATGACCAGCAGAAAAAGGACTCCGAATCGCCTAGAGGCATCAGGAAGTAAGTTAACAATCTTTTGTGTTCAAAAATTCACTATACTGAGCTATTGTTCAGGGAGGATAGACAAAACTCATTGGATCTATTCTGGACTCCAAAGCAAAAGTGATACGCGTGCCTTGAACAGTAACGTGTAGCACAGCTCAGCATGTAAAGTGTCCGATAGAGAAATCATCATTAATATTAAACGACCTTGACATAAATATTGTCCTGACTGAATCGACAGGCCTAGTCAGACTTTACGCTAGCAGAGCATGCCAGAGCATAATAAGGTCTATATAATTGTAGTTTGAGTGAGAAACAAAGGCGAAATGATATACTGTATGACTAAGATCGAAATAATTGAGAATATCGAAAGATAAAACGAAATCGTAACTATAATTCTAGAGAACGAAGGTTCAAGCAGATTCAAGACGAATAGGAGACCGGACATGAGATATCTTAAGTTAAGGCGAAATTCGCAATTTGTTGAAAGTGCGAGACGGAGACGAGCAAAGTAGTCGAAGATACTAAATTCTAAAGGGTTTCTTGATTGCCGGCGTAGCATCTCTAGTTGTAATTGAGGACGAAGATAAAGTGCTTGAGCGTTGTCGACGCTGGGGAATAGGTGGGAGAGGGTTCTGAGGTGGTAGGGTTGGCGGCGGAGAATTCTCAATAGTCCTAGTTGGAATTGATGCCTTACGCGTACGGCAGACAGAAGCAAGACTTGGAGAAGATACAGAAGAACGAGACCGTCCAGAAGCAGAAGAAGGTCTAGAGTTCTTGTCCGTTGAGTTTGAGATATCAGACAGACTTATCCGCTTCGTCCGAGAACTTTCGAGGAATCCAGCGGGAACAACATAGGACTTGACAGGTTGTAAATTGCGGACAGTACGTTCTTGCTTACCAGTGGAAATCGTGCTTTTTTGTCGCGTCGGCCCAGCAGCGGGCGGTCCGCGACGTACTTGAGACTTCGTCGTTGTGGGTGGCGATGGGAAACCATATGGCAGCCTTTTCATTGGACTCGAAGGAGTGACATTAGTTGAAACCGATGTTGACCGTGCACGCGAACAATGCGACTTCGGGTGCTCCTTACGAGATGGTGGACTGATTTTCACACTGCGACGTGACGATAGGGTGTGCAGCTTCGGCTGCGATTCCTTCGCAAGGCGCCCGTCGCCTTGCGATTTAACGTGCGTCGTCGATAAAGGTGATGAGGATGTTGACCCATCCTCAACTTCTTCGGCCACAGTCGGCATCCGAGCACAAGCCGTTGAAGGCGATCTCAATCCCGGTTCCAACAGAGAACTCCTCGGCGTACCAAAACGGCTGGGATCGTGGATATTTTTATGGGCATTCTCACAGGACACAGTGCCAGGGCCCGCCCGAGCGGCTGACGACGTTGCATTATCCAGTGTCTCGCCACCGACCGGTGCACTGTCTGCAAACCACGAAGCAGAGGCTATCTCCATCGGTTCAGTATCGATATCATCCGCGTAGAATGACTGAGCCCTAGGATCACTCGAGAACGGATCCACCACTTCCAGTTCAAAGAACAACGGCGTCGGGTCAACTTCGAAAAATAGCGGGGACTCTGGTCTGATTTCAGCTTTGCCCCAGAAAATGTCATCGTCGCCAGCCAGTTGCTGTGGAGTACTGTGCGCCTTCGTGAGCATTCCGTCCAAATGCGCGCGTCGCAAGACACCAACAAGTAACCTGCTTGAGGAATTGTTGTCGCTTACGTTTGCAGCAGCCGATGAACTCGGACTTTTCCTGCGAACAGGCCAACGAGAGAACGACTTCGATCTCAGCAGTCCATATCTTTCCGAGTCTGACGCGAGAGGTGACGATAAAGCAGGTCGATATGCAATCACAGATGAACGCTTCGCTGAGTGTCGAAGCTCCTTCCGCTTGCTCTCCTGTGTCATGGATAGCACAGGGGTATGGTAGGCAGGTACAGTCGCGCGATCATACGAGCCAGAGTCCCTGCTGGCTGGATTGAGAATGAGCACGCGGATATCTGGGTCCCTCTGCATGTCGACACGACATCTCCATAGAAATGCCTGTGCGTCCTCCTTCGATTCGAACATTGACCGTGATGGCTGCAAGTATCCCTTACGCGGATACGTCGGAGAGTCTGCATCGTCTCCTGGGTGCGTAGGTAGGGTATCGTTGTCCGAAATATCAGACATGCTGAATGCCGAAGTTAGATGGCCTACCGCATTCAGCTCCTCTTCAGCTTGGGCGAGAGAATACGCCTCTCTAGTATCCTCATCTTTCATAATAGGGTCGACCAAGTCTTGTATATTAAGCGAAGCAAAAGACGACGAGAGAGACCCAGACAAGCCTGTCTCGGATTCTCTCGTCGTCGTCGAAAATTGAGCCAGGTATCCTTCCTCTCCAAGGCTGTCATACGCCTTGAACTTCTCGACGATCATAGCACGTGCTTCTGCGCGTATAGTAATTTCGTTATCGCTACATATAAACTTGATCAACGCGACAAGCAACCATGCGGAGGACGTAAAACATTATACCATATTTCTTCCGCATTTCCAAGCTCTTCAATATCGTTCTCCGTCAGGCCTGCGCCATCGGGACCTTTCTCGTCGTTGATTACGAAAATGTCTCGCTTCGCAAGGTTGGAGTGCTGGCGGGTAGGTTGATGACGTGCGTTCTTCTCTTCGATGCAGTCAGGAGTATCAATAAGTGTGGTATCGGCCTGGTGGGAATTGTCAGCCTGCCGGATGTAACGTTCAGTGAACTCGGCTTACCTCGACCAGATCGACCACAAGTATGGTATCAAGTGAGTGCTGCTCATTCGAACGGTTTGTGCCAATGTTGCTGCTTTCATCGGAGCAGTCTGGGTGCTCCACTGAATGTTGTGAAATGTGCTGTATCTTTGAGCTTCCAGGCGTGGGGCTCTGAGCTTCTGCGCGTTGCGCATCAGTTTCTCTATCACTACACACAGAGGGACGAATGGGTTAGTACGACGAGGCAATAATATGCTTTATACAACAAAAACATACAATCTTCCTTCCTCGATTCCAAAGGCTTGAACGCATATATCCGTCACCATAGGTGCCTTGCGTGCTTCGTCGTCGTCAATCACAAATATATCGCGTTTCGAAAGGCTCAACGACTGGCTGACAGGTGCTTCTGCGCCGTTCTCTTCGTTGCTATACGGGGTCTCAACAGGTGTGGTGTCGATCTAATGGGATATGTCAGCCAAGTAGGCAAAAGGCTGGATGCGCTTGTCACACCTCGACCGGACAGGCCACAATTGGGCTGACCGTCACTTGGATCTCATCAGGGTTCTTCACAGGACCTGAATCGTTTCGAGTATCGTCGTGCGCATCTAATTCGGTCTGGTATGGGCCGTCAGCATAATATACACAGAGTACAGTTGAACTTATCTCACCTCAATAGAGCAGGCTACGATAGTCATCAAAGATAAACGGTCCTTGTCCGGAAGCTTGGGATCGTCACTCAGCGCGCTGATATACCTGAGAATGATCTTGTCCGTCGAACGAGGAGTATCCGTAATGTCCATCTCTTTCATATCCTTAGGCCCGCGAATAGAATCAGGATTGAAAACCATTGCACCAGTGCCGAAGAGGAGAATAGGCGACGATATCGGACCGATGGGCCCTTTCTGATCTTCCGTACCCTTCTCAAGGTCGGTAGACTGATTACTTGATGTATCGCTGCGTAGGAGGAATGTCCGAGGAACGAAACGTGGGACCGTGGCTTCGGACTGGCGACGTTTGATGATGAAGCGGTAGACGATGAAGGCGAGGAGGGCAATGATGAAAAGCGTAGCGACGAAGAAGAGAACGAAGACAATGACATGGTGAGACGAAGTGTGCGTAGACCTCTTGACGGCGGAAGTGGAAGCAGCAGTGGAGAGAGAGAAGAAGAGAAACATGATGAAGGCGAGTAGGAACATGGCGATAATGTTGCAAAGAGTGGGGTGTTTGGAGGATGTTGCAGGTGGGGTCGTTTGAGAGGCAGAAATCCTACAACGAGTAGGATGTCGAAACAACTGTAATTTCCGCTTATTCTTATATGATGTATGGCTGGTACGGCTGGTGAGCATGGCATGGCTGGCTATCATGGTTCAGACTGTTTGGCATCGGCATCACAGAGGCTGGTTAGTGGTAATTCTATGTAGAAAAATAGAATATTGGCTGACATGATCAGCAAAGTTCTAAAGGTTCAAGACTAGATGAACGCACGTTCTTGCTTCTCCAACATAGAGAGCTCGAAAATCGCAATACACATGCGTGTCAGTCTGAGGCAAAATGCTTGTCTTGAGACACTTACGGATGAAGCTAGGCCAGGTAGACAATCCAAGGAGAGTGATAATATTCCTATCAGCGGATAAACCAGGTCCTAGAAGATGCAGATGCAGATGCAGGCAGTGCTAGCAATCCGCACGCCCGCACAGTGAACAGCTTATAAATTGTGCCATCACTGTTCTTCTTGTTTGGTCACAAAAATATTAGACGACTCAATATGTGTTATTGGTCGTTCAGGACAAGTCAAATGGCATAATCTTATCCCGAGTGCAGAAGCAGAGATAGTCTTCCTTCCGTCAGGTGTATAACGCAGTTCGTATAATGCAACCCTACGCTACAGAAAAACAAGATTAGCGCTAGCATTTTCATTCCAGACCGAGGCGGACATGTTAACAAGACATGAAGGAGGAGCTTAGTTCATACAAGAACAAGCCGGCAAATATTAGCACCAGAACACCGAAGCACAGACGACACGATTGTAAAAAAGAGAAAGTCGCTGAGGTTTGGGTACGACGCGTGTCTCGAAATTCGTCGCGTTTCGGAGCTCGAAATTTCACTGGCAGACGTGAGAATGTCACGTGGCCTGTTACTTGAAATCGACTTGAATATTCAAATGTGGCACCTCGTCCATGAACCTCATTTCCAAGAACGAAGTGTATTGTCGGATGGTATACAAGAAAACGTAGCATCGTAGATAACAACACATAACACAGGGGGAAAATGAGATCAAGAAAGAAAAAGGAAATAAGAGAAAATGCGACGAATACGGGAACGAAGTTGATATGCGAGTTCATTCGGAGAGTCGGAGACACGGTATTACAAGATGATCATCATAAGTGAGTTGCCGAAGGGTAATAAAATATGCAGCGATAACTGGGATAGGTTGGCGAGTCGTACCGAAACGAAGTAGTCATAAAAACGGCGGAGTCATGTAGAAAGAAAGGCGCGTGCAAAGCCGGTGCATCGCGCTCTGAACGAAGATGCAAGAAAGAAGAATGAGAATGAGAAACGTGATATGTGAATGATACAATGCCAAGGGATACTCTATCCGGAAAACGGAATGAGATTCAGAATGATGATGGCGCCGCTTATTCATCCGTAGATCACCCTACACAAACAAAACAGAATCATTCCGAGTCAGCTTTTATGAAAACAAAAAGATGAAAGCAAATGCGTATAAAGTATATAAAACTCACCCTCGGGAAGTGGTGGTGATCGGTTGAAAGTCAACTCGCCCTGCTTCAGTGTATTTTGCTAGGATCTCGGCCCAGTCCTCACGCGCATCCCAGGGAACACGGCTCGGAGAATCGCATTCAACGGGCATCACTTGGCTCATTCCTCCGCATTGGATAAGGATGACTGCTGCGCCGATGCCACCGGACCGACGGCAACGCTCTTCACGTCGCTGGATGTCCTGCGCGACGAGTGGGTCATAAGACTCGACAAGCGATCGTTGGACAAGACGTGCAGAAGAAATAACGAATCTACAGCGGAGAACTGTCAGAACGAATTCGAAGACGTGGAAAGAAGTGTAGTAGAGAAGAAGCTTTACCTCCGGGCGGGATCGGCATGGTTCCGATACTGAAGGTCAATGTGAAGTGCGAGGGAACGGATGTTCGCGGGTACACGACGGAGCTGGAGAGCTTGAAACGCGGACCAGCTAAGAAGCATCTGGTGCGCGGAGACGAACTTGCGCAAGTTCTTCGCGATATTCTCCTCGGAGTACGCATTCGCTACTGTATCGTGCTTCGCGGACTCGAGCATTCCCGAAGTATGCTGGCAGAGGGTCTTGTGTGCGGGCCAGTGACGCTTTTGGCAGTCTTGTGAACAGTACTGTTTCATATGCAAAGGTGTGGTCAGCCAAAGTCGGAAGTGGAGGTCGGAGTGCGGCGGTGTGGACTAAGAATCGGTGGAGTCAGACGTACCTGTGTGATCATGCATCCACCGCACATACGGAACCGTTGACCAGCTAGCTCGACGGCACCGCAGGTGTCGCATACACGGTGTCCACGAGGCTTAGCATATTGGTGGGGGTACATCGACGGGGTCGGATTCGCATAGTAGGAAGCGACGGCTGCCATTGTGTTCGACTTGACTCAAAGTGTATAGGCGGAGATGGCGTTGAGTGGGATCGAGATGGAGACGATCGCAACGGAGGCAAACGACGACGGGAGCGGTGGGTCGGAGGCTCAAAGGGCTGAGCAAGGAACAAAAGGCCTTTGCGGAGTGGTGAGCCATCCTAGTCAGAAAAATGGAGGACTTTATAGTTTTCTGTGCGTTTCTCGAGGCGCGTAGGGAATCCTGCCGAGCCGGGCTATTGACGGACCCTGATCTGGCAATGTGCAGGTGCAGGAACTGGGAGAGCTGACGTAGAAAGGACATCGACATCGCAGGAAGGCGCTTCGGCGGTGCAAGAGCTTCTCCAAGCGCCTGCGCATCCAATTGTCGAATCGCGTATCCACGGCCTTTTGTCTCGAATGCATGCAGGGCGAGAAAAAGAAATGGAAAGGGCGAAGAGAAGCCGCGCTCTCCCGTTGCTTTTGTCTTTTTGCTCTGAAAGGGTTGAAGATGCTTCTGGACACATGGCTCTTCGTTGGTGCGAGCGCAAGAGAAATGTTTGCGGATCGGGTGGTAATGAAGCAGCACGGACAATAAGAGAGTCGACTGAGAGCGTGAGTATCAAACTAATGTGACAATTAAAGGAAACACCAAGCAAAGTAGCAGTCACCCGTCAGCGTCGTTGCTTGCTCAGCCAGACCCATTGCCACTCCCTCTTTCGGTCACCCGCCATTTCCCTTGCATTCCTCCTCTGCAACATCTCTCATCCGTCATCCCAGCGCAGTCCCTCTCAGAAACACGTTTCATTCCCTTTATCCACACCACGTCCACTCAATTCACGCCCAGTCGTCTGATCTCCAGATTTATGGTCCGCCTGGCCCAGACATGAGGCAGAGTATCTCCCCTCCACGCGCATAAAATGGCAGAATCTCAGCCTCGTGTTGCTGCGAATGGTCGCACCCGGAGGCTCACTTGTCATGCTTTTCCGTGCAAAAATGCAGACGCACGCAGAGTCTATCACCACGCGCGTCCTCTGGGGTCTCTGCTCTCACATCTGCTAAACACATCTCCACCGCTGACAAATGATGTATATGCTTTTTGTCTTTGCACGAATACTTTGGATTCTATCCGCCCTGGAACTTCGCGCGAGCAAAACACAATTGTGCGAGCTTTATTGTATACCTTTGGCACCGGACAGCTTCGATTCTTTTAATATCCCCCCTTCTGGATTCCTCTCTCGGGGATTAACGTCCTTCTCCCTTTTGGCTCGTCGAGCTCTTCTTCCAGCTCACTCTCGCAGCCGGTCTATGCAATTGTTTCTCTTGGCCTAGCAACGGTGAAAGAATACCTCTCGTAACGAAGAGATATTCTGATACATCTAGCGTGCATCCGCCGGAATCACTGAATGTGGACAAGTTTAGGTGCAGATAATTAGGTTCAAGAGAGCCACCCCGAATGCAACGGACGGACCGTCGCACCACACCTACTGCTACTCTTCACATCCAAATCAAGTATAGTAAAGCCAAAGCAAAGTTTCACCACCAAACAAAGTGACACTTTCAAGGTAGCTTGTAAAGCCTATTACCGAGGTCAATCAGGGCGTCTGCAGTGCTCTCTCCTTTGGCCTTCCATATTCCAGTAGACGCGTTGATATTGCTGTATAACCTGATTAAGCAACATCAAGATCGACGCTACTTGTCCTTCGCTGAACCTTTCCAAGCGTATAAAGAGAAGAAAAGAACGACAAGCGCTCGCGATCTTCGGAATCGATGGATTCATCTAACAGGGGGCAAGTACTGAACGAAACACTAATTGTTCCTAATTCTATGTTGCAAAGAAGTGTGAGTTATCATAGAATGCTCCGAGCTTCCTTATTTCATTATTCATATATCATCAATCGATATAGATATTATGAATATGAATGCGCTCTCTCGCCTACCGAGGCCGACGCTTTCCTCAAATCGACAAAGATAAAAAAACAACGCTCGCGATTGTACAGCTTCTTGATAACATCGCGCTTCCATATTCCGGACGTCGGCGATTTTTTTTAGGCAAGCACGGCGTTTAGGTATACGATGTACTGCACACACCCCAAACTACGGCGGCTAAAAAAGACAAGAGCAGGATCGAAGAATGTAAGAAAATAGTACCATGAAACGAGTTTCTGATGCACATGCGGTCGCTTCTTTCCGCTAGAGTTCCTGTAACTTCCTTCTGGTGCCCCCCTCGGTGTGACAACTCATATCCTCGTATACGTTGTACGCGTCAATCACGAAAGATTGCAAATGCCGTGTGGTACATCGCACAGCTTCTATACTTTTTATCCGGGTACTACTATGATTCTTTACTGCGCCTTTCTTCACGACTTGATGAGAAGCTGAGCGTGCGTTGTTGTACCGAGTACTGACCCGCGAAATGTATAATCAAGTATATTGTGCGGCGCCCAGTATTATTTGTCTCCTCAATAACTCAATGCTTCCCACCGCCTCATCAAAGTATAGACGTAGCACGCGACCAACAGACCAGCGTCTAACACTGGCTCTTGACTCGACTCTCACTGCCATCTATATTAAATTTTGAAACCCACTCTCCATCTTGGCTCGGGGACTCTATGTGCATGAGAATTAAAGTGCTAATTTAAGAATCAAGCCTGGTCAAATGCCCAAGCTGTAACAACGTTAAGTAAATTCCTAATATAAGAGCACACAGCACTTACACATTGCTTTAATAGGTCTACTGATAGGAGGTGGTCTAAAGCGCCTATCTTATTTGCCGACAACTCGTTAATTTGATATATGTAGCTAAAAGTGATTTCCATTAAATTTCATCATGATTTCGGTAGTCATTATATTTGTGTTCTAATATTAGATTTCTAATTAATATTTGATTTTGTTTACTTATATAAAATTTAGAGGAGGAAAATATGCGTCACGCGTGTATCATACAAGTCATTAGCATTCCTCAGTTCCTGTAGTTTGTGTTTATTCAGAGCTCTTAAAATACTGTTTACAAGTCCATTCTCTCGAACGCAATACAAGTTGGTTGTGTAAGTGAACTATCATTGGAACAACTCATGCAGTAATAATCTATTCATGCCTTTGTCAATTACCCGACTTAGAGCAATACAAGAATGAGTACACATAACTGGGAGCTACTCCAGTTTTGTGATGAAATATATCTAATTATGTGTGTGCTAATATTTGTAACTGTACATCCAGCCTATTAATCAAAGAATATAATAAAAAGCAACATTAATCTTAATGTTGTAACCTCGATACCGATGCCACCTATCTTTGACATTCTCGTAGACTGAAGGAGCCAAGAAGTTTGAAGGTACATATACAGCCGACGCTATGAGCCCAAGATGGTGAAGATGGTCTAGACCTTTTTAGATGCATATGATCATTACTGGTTTTGTAAGGTTTTAAATCTCCGAAACGCGGTTAATTTCTTGGACGCGTCAAACAGTTTATGCATCGTCCATCTTGATTCTTCAACACGTTCTTGTTTTACTCGGGTCTTACACCTCCTCTCACATTCTGCTTTTCATATATATGATTTTAATGCTGCATATGGCTAAGCTCTCTGATTGTTCCTCGTTTGACTCGATCCTACTGGGGCGATGACCCTTAGCAGGTGGGATAGGAAATGCTAGACCGACGAATGATCCTGGCCGCAATCTATCCATGGCAGAATCCGTGTTGGACAAAAGAAAAACACCTCCCAATCATGCATATACTGCATACAGCTCAACTTATACGTATTTTGGACTCAGGGCAAGGATAACTTTCTATATTCGATAGGGCATAGTTTCGTGCCTGGAAATGAACGAGTCTCAATCATGTATAAAATATCGCCATCGTGAACGCGACTATAAAGGATGTCGATAATGTTGTTCTCTATTTATTTTGAAGTTGCACGAGTGAGTTGAGCTATAGACTGCGCACTCTAGAACCTAGCTAATCATGTCAGCCAGTATTCTAGTTTTCTATTTAGGATAACTGCTAGCCAGCCTCTTTGGTGCCAATGCTTAACGGTCTGAACCACGATATCCAGCCTTGCTAGATGTACCAGCCGTACCCAGCCATGCAACATTTAAGAGTCGGCAGAAATACAGTCGTCTCGGTATCTGCTCGCCTTCAGATCTGTGCCTCCCAAGCACCCTCCGACGCGTAAATTTTCCAAACACCCCACTCTTTGCAACATTATCGCCATGTTCCTCCTCGCCTTCATCATGTTTCTCCTCTTCTCTCTCTCCACTGCTGCTTCCACTCCCGCCGTCAAGAGGTCTACCCACACTTCGTCACACCATGCCATCGCCTTCGTTCTCATCTTCGTCGTTACTCTTGTCGTTCTCATCCTCTTCGCCTTCATTGTCTACCGCTTCATCATCAAACGTTGCCAGTCCAATGTCTCAACTCCAACTCCAACTCCAACTTTTGTGCCTCGTTCATTCGTTCTGCGCACCGATACATCAAGCAATCAGTCCACCGACCTTGAGAAGGGCACGGAAGGTCAGAAAGCGCCCATCGGTCCAATATCGTCTCCTATCCTCCTCTTCGGCACTGGTGCAATTGTTTTCAATCCTGATTCTATTCGCGGGCCTAGGGATATGAAAGAGATGGACATTACGGATACTCCTCGTTCGACGGACAAGATCATTCTCAGATATATTGAAGCGCTGAGTGATGCTCAGGAGACTTCAGAATCTCCAGGAATACCTGACGAGCTCCGTGAAATGGATAATGTCAAGCATCCGGACAAGGACCGATTATCTTTGATGACGATCGTAGCATGCTCCATCGAGGTGAGGCGAGTTCAAATGTATTCTGTGTTTACTATGCTGACAATTCGAGTCAGACGGAATTAGATGCGCAGGACGATACTCGGGACGCTCCAGATTCTGTGAAGAGTCATGACGAGATCCGAATGACTGCCAGCCCAATTACGGTCTGTCACCTCAAGGTGAGACGAGTGCATCTAGCCCTTTGTGTACTTGGCTGGCTAACACCTTTTTTCAGATCGACACCACGCTCGTTGATACTCCAGACAACAATGACGAGAAAGTTGCAGATACCCTTGTTAGGCAGTCGTTAAGCCTCTCGAAGCGTGACATATTTGTGATCGACGACGACGATGCACGCAGCGCGACAGCGGTGACGGAGACGGATGTTGAAACCTTTGGAAGCGCAGAAGCAAATCAGTATGTGTTCATTACCTCGAGCATGTTCGTGTCTCGTTGTAATGACTTACTCCCTCTTCTACTCTTGGCGATAGTGAGATTGATGCGCAGCACGCAGAAGCCCAGAATTTCACCCTCGGAAGTACAGAGACGCAATCCATTTCACAATACTCGTCGGAACACTTAGAGCGCTTCAGAGAGGGCCATGCAGATGTTGGCTTACACCATCCGGATGAGCAGCATTCACCCGACACCACACTTGTAACCGATCCGGTCGAGGTAAGCTGAGTCCTCCGAGCCCTATGCTCGATAGGCTGACAGTTCCTACCAGGCCGATACCACACTTATTGATACTGTAGACTGCAACAAAGAGAGTGATGCGCATCATGATCCTACCAGCCAGCACGCAAACCTGGCGAGGCGGGATATCTTCGTGATCAACGACGAGAAAGGCTCCGACGGACCGGGCCTGACGGAGAAAGTTATTGAAGGGCTTGGAAATGTGGAAGAATCATGGTACGTTGCTTCTCGCTCTGCACAGGTTGCTTTGTCATGTTCACCAACTCCGCACATAGCAATAAGATTATTTTCCGTGCGGAAGCACGTGCGATGACTACTGAGTTCCAGTCGGTTGACTGCCTTGAAGAAGAAGAATATCTCACTCAACGTTCGGCAACGACAGAGGCGGAGACTGGCTTGTCTGGCTCCCTCTCGTCGTCCTTTGCTTCGCTTAACATTCAAGACCTAGTCAACCCTATGAAACCTACCGACACAAGAGGTACGTATTCGCTCGCTCAAGCCGAAGAAGAGCAGAATGCGATAGGCCATCTTACTTCGGCATTCAGCATGTCCGATGTTTCGGACAACGATACCCCACCCACTCACAGAGGAGACGATGCAGACTCTCCGACGTATCCGCGTAAGGGATACTTGCAGCCATCGCGATCGATGTTTGCCTCGAAGGAGGATGCACGGGCATTCTTATGGAGATGTCGTGTCGATATGCAGAGGGACCCAGACATTCGCATTCTCGTTCTCAATCCAGTTACTAGGGACTCTGGCTCATACGATCGCGCGACAATGCCCGCTTACCATGCTCCGGAGCTCTCCATAACACAGGAGAGCATGCGGAAGGAGATTCGATGTTCCGCGAAGCGGTCGTCTGTGATGGCATACCGACCTGCTCTACCATCGCCTCTTGCGGCTGACTCGGACGGTTGTGGGTTACTGCGATCGAAATCGTTCTCCCGGTGGCCTGTTCGTTTGAAGAATTCAAGTTCATCCGCGCCTCTCAGCGTAAGCGACAACAACTCTGCAAGCGAGTTACTTGTCAATGTGTTGAGGCGCCTGCACTCGGACGGCGTGCTTACGAAGAGGTACAGTGAGATGCAGCAACTGGTCGACGATGACATTTTCTGGAGCGAAGCCGCGATTAGACCAGAGTCCCCGCTATTCTTTGAACACGACCCGATGCCGTTATTCTTTAATCCAGAAGTGATCGATCCGTTCTCACGTGATCCTAACACTCCGTCATTCTATTCTGATGATGTTGATGTCGAACCGGTGGAGGTTGCTCCTGCTTCGTGGTTTGCGGACAGCGTGGTGGGTAATGACGAGGCGTTGGATGGTGCGATGTCCACTGTCGATAAGGCAGCCTCTGACATGGTGTGCTGTGAGGATGCCGATAGCGTTAACCACGACCCCAGCCGTTCAGATACAGTGACGAGCAGTCTGTTGGAACCAGGGATGCGACCACCTTCAACTGCTTGTGCCCGGATGCCGACTGTGATCGAAGAAGCCGAGCAAGATACGCTATCATCGTCATTGCCCTCGTCGACAACAGCAGTTAATCCACGAGGTGACAGGTGCGTTGCGAAGAAATCGACACCTAAGTTGCATACACTATCCTCACGTCACAGTGTGAAAATCAGTCCACCCTCTAATAAGAAGCATTCCAAGCCGCACTGTTCGCGGGCACGATCGACGTTAGTGTCAACGAATATCACGCCTTCGAGTGCAATAGACAGGCTTCCATATGGTTTCCCTTCGCCACCCGTAACGACGAAGTCTGAAGCTCGTCGCGGACCAGCCACTGCTAGGTTGACGCATCAGAAAAGCATTACCACCACCTGCAAGCGAGTACGTTCTTTCAGCATCTCTCTATCTACCGAGTGCTCTGCTATTCCAGCTGGATCTCTCGAAGGCTCTCGGCCGAAGCGGAGAAGTCTGTCTGATATCTCGAATCCAGCGAACACCAAGAGCTCTGGATCTACTACTGCTACTGGACGATCTCGTTCTTCTTCTGTCTCTTCTCCAAGGCCTCCTTCTGTTGGACATGCACGCAAGTCATCAAGTTCAACTAAACCCATCAAGAATTCTCCACCGCCACGCCCACCACCTCAAAACCCTCTACCGCCCATTCCTCAACGTCGACAGCGCTCGGATACTCTGTCTTCACCTTCGATTACTACTAGAGATGCTACGTCTGCTATCAAGAAACCCTTTAGAATCTAGAACCTTCGACGCTTCGACTACTTTGCTTTTACTTGGTCTCGCTCTTACTTCAGACGGCAAAGTTTGCCTTCAGACACCATATACCTGGTTTCATATTCGCCTTGAATATCCCTCGATCTTCCTTCGCTAGAACTATGATTACGGCTTCGTTTTTGTCTTTCAGTATTTTCGATTATTTCGATCTCAGTCATATTTTATTTTCGCATCTCTTTCTCTCACGACTACCATTATACACGTAGTAGTGATTTGTCGCGTCCTTTGGCGTCTCTGACTTAAATCTATGCAATGCAATCAGGACAATGCCATTTTACTAATGATTTACGTCTCTATTAGACACATTGCACATAGACTTTCTTCACAAGCTATTGCTCAAAGCACATTACGCTGCGTCTTGGCATGCCTTTTTTTGTGTAAAACTACTACCATGGCCACAAGATTGCATAATATTATTAATCTCATTGTAGTCAAGGTACACTTCGAACTGTTCTACATGCCATTGTTCCAGTCACGCCATTGTGTCATCGACCTCTGTGATTTATATCGTCCGGGCTCAGTGTTGCTTGCCTTTCTGGTCTAAAAGGTTGCTCAGAGTCTCATTCTCTATCAATTAGAGTCATCAACATACTTTTGTCTATTTTTAGCTGCAGAATGTGTTTTTGTATCCTCTTGATGATTATCTGATGCCTCAGTGCCCACAATGCCTTCACATGGTGGCGGCATGGTGTCGCCAGTGTCTTTAGCATGTATTCTATTTTTCCATTTCTGCTTTTTGACGACACTGTCGGGATCACCGGAAGTAAGCTCTGATTTAAATACGGGACGATCCAACCTCTTCATGGTTGAAAGTGCAGAAAAGCGGGAGTCACAACAATTTCATCAGTACTGTGCATTTTTTATATTTATATCTATAAAGATACAACACAGTTTCGCTTGAGCAAACTTGTTTCACTTCTATATCTGTGCAGCTCTTTGCTCATATACTAGCACTTTGCTTGTGAAAGACAGTTCGCTTGTGCGGTGCCTTCAATGGACTGAATGGTGCAGCACACATCCCAAAGTCTGACTAGCCTGTCACTATCACTTCTAACTCCATCTTTCCCTACTGGACATCTTGCTATTGGAGCCAATCTATATAGTATCGAACTAATTGACCTTTCAAGTTTCCTTTCCAAGTACAGGTATTTCTGCATGAAGCAGCTTACTGTAATAAATATGTAGCAAATAATTAAATCGGATATGTCCGAGAAAACTTGCAAATTTGGTCAAATCGGGATTCTTTTCTCCTGACCAATAGAAACCAGTTACTGCTGGATTGTCCTGGTTGTAAAGTACTTTGCTTTGAATAAGATATTTATAGGTGACTGAAAGAGCCCTTTAAGTCGGCTTCTTAGATATGGCATCATGCAAAGTAATGATGAATAGACTGCTATCCTTCCCATAGTACTAGCAAGCTTGCATCTGCCTGTATGTGGTGTGTAAGAACTCATATGAAGGCAAGGTCAGAAAGAACTATTAATGAATTGCTGATCCGGGTATCTTATAAAGTGAAAATCCGAAAGCAAAAACATCAGCACTGTCTCCCTTCATCCTGTTTAGCTTGTCTATGCATGTAGTGGGTTAAAAATTCCTGCTACACAGCAGTACTGCTGATTCTTGACACAAAGTAGCTATGTCCAGCCCTTTGCACTAGAGACATTCTGGCTTGTTCAGCTACTAGTATGTGTGGGGTTTCAGAGTATCAGCTATAGTTTGAGCACCAGCATCAACAATGAAATTGAATTTTAGCAAACACATCCAACAGGATCAAAATGTTCTGTAGCTTGTGCAATTTGTTTAGCAGTCCTTCTTCATGTATGATCCACCTGCTTCCCGGTCTAATACAGTAGTCGCTATCCTGTAGGTGAGGTAAGGCAAGTATGCCAACAGTATTGTAAACCTACAGGTCAAATCGATGAAGCAGAAACAACCAGCATTGCATCAGGAAAATATCTCAAACTTTGTATTAGCTTATATGTATATAAATTATATATATTTTCTACATTATGTATAAGAGCTTATTGTGTACCTAGGGGTTTTAGGAAGGTAATAAGAAGCTAAGAAAGCTATTAAAAAGTCTTGACTTTCTGGTCAAGAATAATAAGAATTGTAGTACTTACTAAGATATACAAGTGCTTAAAGTGTACCTTGCAAAATGGCTAAGTATTATAATACTTGTTATTTTAACAAGGAAAACATATAAATATAAGATGTATAAGATAAAATTTTCCTTATATCCATTTGTTATTGAAATAACAGTTTATAATTATATTGAAATATTGTATAAATACATTATTATCTACAACAATTAGGGAAATGATCTGACGACAGATGGCAAGTGTATTGACAATAGAGAACGAATGTGTTCCTCAGCCGTTTGAGGTAGTCTTTGTCACCATACCTTGGTCGCCTCTCGGTCCCTGCAAGTTGGATTGTGCATGGATTGTGAGATTGTACGGATTGTAGAGGTCGAGGTTGCACCTGTGAGGCAGATTTGGAGGTTGACTTGTTAAGGGGGCAAGGGGTTGTTAGCAAGTGCAGGTGCTTGAAGTAAAGAGATGAATGCACTGCAACGGCGTGTAGCGAGTGTGAGTAGTGCACCGGGGTTGATATCCGGAGCATTGAATGAACTGATTTGAGCAGCAAGCGAAGCCGTGTCCGTAAG